AGGCCTCTTTAGTGGGCCTTCTCCAGGACGAATAAGAAGAGTCTTTGTGTTCCACAGTCCTGGTCCCAGACCAGGGAACGGGTTTGGAACCATGTGCATTAAAAGACGGGAAAATGGAGAGGAGGTCCAGGAGAGAGAGTGAATGGGTGAGTGAAGGGGTGAGTGTGTGAGGGAGACAGAGAGTGTCCTGATATCAAGGACCTCTTGAAGGCCTCCAGAGTCCATCTCCAGAGGTGCTCCAGTCTTTGTCTCCCACTCTCCCTCCTTCACTCCCCCTCTCTCTGTGAATGAAGCCTGGGAAGAAGGAGACTGACCAGATGGTTAGGGTTGGTGGAGGGGAGGAGAGAGGGGAGGAGAGAGGGGGAGAGAGGAGAGAGAGGAGGACCAGACCTCCTCAGCTGATTGTCAGTTAACTCCTTATAAGGAGTGAAGGAGCAGTCATGCTCATTAGGACATTAGTCCTTCACACTGATGTTAATGAGGCTGTGGCCACATGCTAACGAGCTAATGAGCTAATGAGCTAATGAGGTTGTCATTGAAGGTTGACTGTGGAAGAGAGAGAGAGAGAGAGACAGTGACAGTGAATGGATCCTGAGCCTATAGTGTATATAAATGTGTACAGCGTGGAGGGGGAGGATGGGTGAGGGAATATATATATATAAATATAAATGTTTGTTTCGTTTTGATTTTGTTGCTACTGTTGTTACGGTGGTGCAGTGTTGTGTGTGTGTGAAACTCACTGATGTCTGGTCGTGTTGTTGTTTCTGTTGATTGTGTTGATGTCTGGTCGTGTTGTTGTTTCTGTTGGAACTATGTGATGTAGCGGAGATGATGTCATTTCCTCTGTTGTTGTTGTTGTTTAAACTGAGGTGAAAATAAGAAGCGACACTCGTCTCAGCAGAACTTCACTTTTTACAGCCTTTTATTTCATTTGAATTAATGTTGACGTCTAACAGGCTGAGCCCACGAGCCCTACTTTTCACCACAGCGTCTACATTTCAATGCAATAGTAAAAAACAAAACCCAGCGAAAATAGAACGCACAAAAACCACAGGTCATTAAATATATTCATTTATGATAAACGTAATCTATTAGTACTGCAACACATTACACAGGTTTACTAAAGGTAATGTAGGAACATGAACAGAAGGAGACACTAGGTGGCACTACCTGCTTCTCACTTCACACACACACTGACAAACGTGTGTGTGTGTGTGTGTGTGTGTGTGTGTGAAGTGACTGAACCCACATGAAAATGTCTCTCTTTATTTAGTTTCTACCAACACACAGTGGCTTTAGTTCACATGGAGATAAATGTAACGTAACAAGTACTACTGTAGTACTACTATAAAAGCCCACACGGTGCCTCAGTCGGCCTTGTGTCCAGTACCAGGTCTGGGTGTGTGCCGAGTCACGCCTCCTGTAAACATCTGGTGATATTTCATCACTCCACAGGTCAAAGTTCAACAATACAGTCACAGTCATTGTTAGCTAACAGTTAGCTTCAGTAAACAGTGAGCTTTTGGTGATGGGTCAGTAAGGTCAGGGGTCAACTCCTGGTCAGGTTGTACTGGTTTCATTCACAGGTTGGAATGTCAAAGTTAACCCTTTAACTGCGATGACTGATGAATTAATCAGTTTAAAGATTTTGACGAAGATGCAGAAAGACTGTATATCCCATAATTCCTCTGTCCATCCACCAGTGACACACACACGGTGGGAAACGGTTCTAGTTCCACTGGATCTCCTGGATGTGAACATCCCATCATTAACTCCAGCATGTGTCTGTGGGTGCTTCAACCTCTGGTCAGAGATCAGGACAGTCGGTCTCCGACTGTAGACTGATTAATGTTGTTGAGTCTAGAGAGAACCAGGTTCCACAGGTTCTAGCAGACCCGGTCCAGATGAATAGTCGGACTTTTGAAGACTATTCTCTTCAGACACACTTTTGATTTTTCATAATTTCCCAGTTTTGTCTTATATTTTGACTGTGATACCCTGACTGTGGTACCCTGACTGTGATACCCTGACTGTGGTACCCTGACTGTGGTGTAACACAAAGCTTTTTTCACTGCTGCCTCTTTTTATACCATGGGTTTTGAAGTGATCCGACCCTGGAGGACTGTGAAGGTACTGCTGCTGTCCACTGGAATACACACGTCTACTGCACTGTATACACTGAAGTCCAAATGGCTTGTGTTTGAAGTACGCAGTATTGGTTTTCGTCAGGATAAAAACCACATCATTCGTCACTACAGTTACTGAACATTTTCTTCTAAGATCAGACTAGAAAAACATGAAGTGCATGGTTGATACCTATTCTACTCTACAGCTAGATGGCGCTGCACACACGCACATACGGTTACTTTACATGCAGAGGTCAGTCACAGCTGATGAGGAGAATAGGGAGAACGTCCTAGTGGCAGTTTGTTGCCATAACACTGAGGTAACTCACTCATCCAAGAGCCCAGAGGATGGGGGAGGACAGATGTGGGAGTGGGGGGGTGAGGTCGCACGTTGGCCACAGTGACTGTTTCACAATGTTTTACTTTCAGCTGTTTGAATGAAAGTCTTCCCAGTTGAACCGCCTGCAACAGCACCTCATCCAACATAAGGCCCGTGGAGCGGTGCTGCACCGCAGGGTAGTCGAAACACACACACACACACACGTGCAGGTTGTGTAGAACAGTGGACCGAGGGAGAACCAACAGCCCGGCAGTAAAACGGACCGTTCTGTAACATTAGCTCCAAATTCTGCCGCTACGATGAGACGAGACGAGGTGAAAAAACCCGTCATCTGGTCGCTCCACATCAGAGCAGCAGGACTCGGTCCTTCCTCCCATCTCTCCCACTCCTCACCTCTGCCTCTCCTCTTGTTTTTCCAGTTTTTTTCGAGTGTTACTTGGTCCTCCCCTCGTCCCTGAAGGCATCGCTTCCCTCCACTCCTCCTCTGTCCTCTCTCCTTCACTCCTTCCTAGCACTTCCCCCTCTTGTCACGCTGTTGGAACTTCCTCAGCCGACGCCCCCACAGGTCCTTCCAGGGGATGAGCAGGCTTCCCTTGTCCGCCACCACTCCGCTCTGCCCCGGAGCGTCGTCCTCTGACCCCAGGAGCAGGTACTTCCTCCCAGTCTTGATCTTGGGACATTTGCAGGCCACGTCCTTGGCACGCACCCACAGCAGCTGGTCGCCGCGACGGATGCGGTTCTCACCTTGTTTGTAGACGGAAATGATGTTGACAGTGAACTTCCACCACTCTCCCGCTTTGTCTCCTTTCAAAACGTGCACTTGAACAGCTGGAGGGGGAGAAGAAGGAGGAGAAGAAGAAGAAGAGGAGGAGAAGAAGAAGGAGACGAAGAAGAGAAGAAGAAGGAGAAGGAGGAGAAGACCAGTCTAAAATACTTTAAAATACTGTAAAACTGTGAAACACTCAGCTCCATCTGAATGTAGTTCTCCTCATGAACCTGCTGCTGTTCAGTGGTAATGATCCAGTGGAAACACAGCTCCAGCCTCAGTCTGCGCCCCCCCCCCCCCCCACCAGTCTGCCCCTCAGTGTCGGGTAGATCGACATTTTCACTTCTCAGATTAGAAAGTTCAGGAGGTGACATTTTGGGGTTTTTCAGTTTTTGTTTTTGTTTTTACAACTCCACAGTTAAAAATCGAGGCAGTAAAAGAGACGGCAAACAAGTTACAAACCTGAGTTACCACGGTGGAAAGACCGGCCGACCGAAGGAGAAGGAGAAAACACCAAAGAGATGTCTCCATCCTCAGTACTACCACCTACAGTACTTCATATGACACACTCACACACCGACACACTGTAGTTGTACCTAACTGCTGTAAAATTTCCAAAAGGTGAAGTAGAAAAATAGAAAACTCCGTACTTGTGTAACTACATGACCCACGGTGTGGGCCACCCACCTGTACCACAGGGAGAAGAGTTGAGGATGACTTGAACCATGTAACCATGGCAACAGTGAGGGAGCAGGTTGTACGTGATGGTGCTTCAGTAGTGGAGCACATGATACTAGGTGGAGCTAGTATCACTATGAGTACTAGTACTAGTACTCACATAGTAGCAGGATTGTTATGATGAAGTGGATGGTTTTAAGATGCAGTTTTACATTTTGACAATAAACATGTAGTCAGTCAGGTGTAGCTGGAGGAGGTGGAGGAGAAAGAAGGTTTGTTGGTGTGGGGGGGGCGCGCTCTCACAGCCCCTGCCATTCATCTCAGCCCTCTCCTTCATCCAGACACATAAAGGGTGAGTGAGGAGGGGCTATAGCAGGGAGGGGGCACTATTTGTCTTCCCAGCCATAGAAAAAAGATCCAGGAGAATCAGGACGGGTTTCTGACCTCGTGAGCCGTCCAGGTTCTGCTCCCAGAACTTTGTCCAACTCTGCAGCGTGAGAATCCAGCAGAGATAGTGCTCCCCTCCCCTCCCCTCCTCTCCTCTCCTCTCCTCTCCTCTCCTCTCCTCTCCCCTCCCCTCCCCTCTCCTCTCCTCTCCT